AAGGCAGTACAAAAACCTGAACAAGTGGCAATCATACACTGCAAAGCACACCAATCAGGAAACTCCAAAATCTGTGAGGGAAATCGAAAGGCAGACTGGGCAGCCCGACAGGTTGCTCGAGAGGTACAAACAACAATGGCATTGATACCTTTGAAGCTTAAGGTATCCCAATTCAATTTGCCTCCAAAACCAAAATATTCAGTAGAAGATGAGAGACTGGCACGTTTGCTAAATGCACAAAAGAATTCACAGGGATGGTATGTGACTGCACAAGGACAAATAGTGGTACCCCCTTGATAATGAGAGAAGTTCTATAAATTAAACATAATGAATGTCACTGGGGAGCAGAGGCATTGGTAAAATTGCTAAAGCAGAGTTTAATTTCAGTACGGATGCTAACAATGGCAAAATCAGTAATGACAAAATGTGATATCTGCTTGAAAAACAACCCGGTTGCCAGGTGACAGGCACAGCTAGGAAGAATTCAGGTAGGAATAGAGCCAGGAGACTATTGGCAGGTTGATTTTGTAGAGCTACCAAGGACTCGAGGATACAAATACCTGTTAGTGGGGGTTGACACATTCTCTGGGTGGCCAGAAGCCTTTCCCTGTCGCACGAACCAAGCAAAGGAAACAGTTAAGTGGTTACTACAGGAGATTATTCCCAGAATTCGGGGTACTCCTAGGGGTATCATCAGATACGGGACCCCATTCATAGCTACAGTAGTAAGAGAGGTAAGTAGATTGCTGGGGATAAATTGGGACCTCCACACACTGTGGAGACCCCAGTCAAGTGGACAGGTAGAGAGGATGAATCAGACACTAAAAAGGCAAATCAGTAAAATATGCCAAGAAGCCAAATTGCAGTGGCCCCAGGCTTTGCCAATAGCACTGTGGAGGATTCGGATAAAGCCTAGGAGTGGGATGTCAGTCAGTCCTTATGCGATATTGTATGGGAAACCATATGAATCTCCTGAACCCTAATGTACATGTCACAGGAAAGCAGGAAGTGTATAATTATGTTCTGTCTCTCGGGAAAACTTTAGCTCGGCTCTGGAGTATCCTCGTGTGGAATAGACCAGTGACTCTCGAGAACCCAGTTCATAACATACATCCAGGAGACGAGGTGTACATCAAGAACTGGAACGAGGAACCGCTGAAAGAAAAGTGGAGTGGACCCCATCAGGTACTACTGACCACCTTTACAGCAGTCAAAGTAGCCAGTGTGGACCCCTGGATTCACTATACCCGAGTGAAGAAAGTCCATCCTGGATCACAGACTGTATAAACTCTGGAATGAACAAAGGCTGCAGATAAGATGTGTTTAATTGCTTTCAGAATGCTATCAGTAATTGTGCTAACGTTATGGTTATTAATATCTTTGGGATGTGGAGTGCAAAATGATCGACTAACCATTCTTCATTCTAGAATGAAGAGAGAGGTACAAACAGAAACACAGGTGATAAAGGTTTCTAATGCAGTTCGGGCTGAGAATGTAATGATTGGATTAGTCAAAGATTTTGCCAAAATGCAAAACACCAGTCGAATAACTGCCTGTCTGCCAATGCCAAAGGCAGCAGGAGACCCAGTAAACTGGAGAATCATAACATCAAAACTACCTGAAATACAAAAGAACAAAACAATTACATGTAAACAGGTACCCGAATTGAGGCAAGTTACAGAAACCACTCTTGTATGGAAATGTGAGGCCAAGGATAGGAAAGATCAGATAGAACCTTGGGACAGTGTGTGGTCTGTGAGTATTCTTCAAAGATTCCAATATATGGCAAACACCCCTTGGTGTATTAAGTGGGAAGGCCCTGAGAATGAAACAGATCCAGCAATAACGAACACTGACACTAGTAGCAGAACGAGGGCAGACAAAGTAAGTTGGTGGACATGTAATAAAACTTACAACTGCACTTCAGATGATGTAGAGATAAAGCAGATGCCACCCCTGGCAATAGCCCTACAAATTGGTTGTGCTTGCAGAGGGATCAAACATAAACAAGGCAGAGTGAATTATAGAGTAATTATAGGGTGTACCAGGGTTACAGTCTGAGGTCCAGCACAATTTGTATGGGCAGCAAGTGATGGTACCTGGACAACATATCTGCCTGTAGACGGGAAAGTAAAGGAGATTACTTTAGGCCTCCCAGCCTTATGTCCATTTTGGAAAAAGTCCCCATTTAATGGAAAACATGAACTTCTGCAGATAAGAGCAAGACGAGAAGTTCTAGACGATAAAAATCCAGATGACACTTGGCAAGAACCCTCTAGTTGAGTGAAATTTGGATGGGCCCTAGCTAGAGTCATTGCTTGGTCCTAGAGCAAACTATAAGAGCAGAGAGATGCTGTACAAACTTACAGGTCAGGTAGGTAGACTGGCAAGAGTCACCCGGGAAGGATTTAAAGAATTAAATATACAATTACAAGCCACCACAAAAATTACTTTACAAAATCGATTGGCCCTAGATATGTTACTCCTGAAAGAGCATGGAGTATGTGGATTCTTAAAGGGACAAATTGATCATTGCTGCATTCATATCCCAAATGTAACTGCCGATGTGGAATATGACATCAATCAGTTGAAACAAATAGAGCATGAAGCACAAGAAGGGCAAAAGGATTTGGCTACAAGCTGGTTAGGAAAAACATCAATCAGTTGAAACAAATAGAGCATGAAGCACAAGAAGAGCAAAAGGATTTGGGTACAAGCTGGTTAGGAAAAATCTTTAATAGATTAGGGTGGAATGTGAGTTCATGGATTAAAATCTATCATTGAGAGTGTGATAAGCTTACTAATTGTATTCTTAGCAATTTGGTTCGTTTACAGCATCTTAAAGGGAGAGATACAGAAGAAAACGTCCTGGAACCAGAGGATAATAAAGGCACTAACACGAGATCCACACCCACCATCTTCTGGTTCTCCAGTTCGTAACAGCATCCACGACAATGTTTACATCAACCCTGGATTTGAAGAACCAAGTACGAACTGAGGAATAAAGGACTGTATCAAGTGAAAACATTTACACCTATAGTGAAGTGAAAATGCTTTCAAAGGGGGGAGAATGATAGTGGAGCCCTGGAAAAAGTTAAAGATAGAATCTAAAATGTTAGGCTTTGTGCTTTCCCAGATCAACTGCACCTGCGTAAGCAGTATGATATATTATATAATTGTTAGATGTGATGATTGTTTAGTAATTAAATGTAATTCTTATATAACCAAAAGAAGAATATTGAGAAAGTATGCTGGAAATTCAGAGAGGGGCTAAATATATATATACAATAGAAAAATGTAAGTTTAATAATTAACATGGAAGTTATATAAAGATAAAGTATAAAACACGATCCTTTCGGATGTATGGTCGGAATCAGATTTGGGTTGAATATACCCCGATTCCCAGAGCTCTTGAATATTAAAGCACCGCATATAATCCCTATGTGATTATGTGTTTTGAATGCTAACATTGCCAGCAGTTGCTCCAGGTGCTCCTGCCATCAGCCCTGGCAGGAAGGAGCACAGCCCCTAATGCACGTGGGCTTTGGCTCCCTGTGGCACAGAAGCCCCCGGGGGCACAGGTCTCTGGGGCAGGAGACGGGCACCAGCGCTGCCAGGGCTCGGGGGGTGGCAGCTCTGCTTGGGAAGGGACTCTGCCACACCTGCTGATGGCAGCGCTGCCCGGACCCCAGGGCTCAGAGCAGCATTGGTGCCCGGGCCCACACGTTCCTTGTGCGAGTCACACCCGCGGGTTTAGGATGGCCACGGGCCGGGACGTGTCCCAAGGAGGCCGTGCCCGCTTCCCTGGAAGGGCCTGTGCCTTCCCAGAGCAGCTGCGTCGGCAGCCCTGGGGGCTCCTTCTGCTGCCCTGGGCCCACAGAGCAGGGCAGCGTTTGCTGATGCTCTGAGCCCCTTCCTAAAGATCCTGTCAGGCTGCCTTAGACACCTGGGGCCAGGCATTCCTTCCACCCTGGGCCACTTTGGCTGGGCTGGGGGCAGCCCCAGGGCAGGCGGCAGTGTGTGCAAGGGCCCTTGGTGACACACTGCAGCACGGTCACTGTGACATGGAATAGAACCCGGTGTCCAAGGTCCCTTTGTGACACGTGAGAAATAGAAGCATGCCCGGGTGCTGGGAGAACGCAATGGGACAGGACGGGACAGAGCAGTGCCGTGAGGAGCCCCCGCACAGCGCACTCGTTCGTGTCCCACCTGGAAGTTATCTGAGGCGTTGTTCTTTTAGCTGAGCTTGAGGCCAGACCATAAGACTTGCTGACCTGTGGTCTCCCCGAGGCTTCTCTTTCGCAGCTGCCCTTGAGGGCAGCGTGTGGGACTTGGTGCCCTTGGAGCATTTCCAAGGTATCTCTTCTGCAAGAAGCTAGTGTCACTGACATGAAGCACAGAACCCCAGAAGTGCCCAATCTGGCCTGGGGGGAAGAGGAGGAAGAAGGCCCTGGAGCTGCTTCACCACTGGTGACTCAACAGTTGGAGCCATTCCAGCCACCACAGGAGGGTGAGTGGCAGAGCTAGGCCACAGGACTGGTGCCTGCAGCCAACTTGACCCTATGCCATGCCATGCCATGCCATGCCATGCCATGCCATTCCCTGGGGACATGCCCAAGGACAGGACGGAAAAGGGGCCGGGCAGACACCCCGCAGGGGCCGTGCTCCATCCCCTGGGCCATCCCGGGGCTCTCCCTGCCTGGGCAGAGCAGGGCTGGGCTGTGTTCTCCGGCCTCTCCCGCAGCCCCTCAGCTCTGGCTGCACTCGCTCTTTGCCAGGTGCAGCCCTGGAGCACACACAAGAGCAGGAGTCCAGCCGTGGCCGCTTCCGCAGCACAGCCCAGGTACCTGCAGCCACCCCCACCTGGGCTGGGCCTGCTGTCCCTGCTCAGCCCAGCACCGTGTGTGGAGCACTCCATGCAACATCCCCGGCTTCCTGCCCTTCTCTTACAGTTGGTCTGCAGATTCATGAAAAGAATTCGGCAGGAAGAGGGCATCACCATGGGCACTGGGCTCAGAGCAGATTCAGAGCTCCTCGAACATGAGACCAGCGCGGCCCTCCTGTGTATGTTTGTAGAGGAAGTTTTTTACAATCCAAAGCAAGTAAGGAGCCTGTGGCCAGGCTTTGATCCTCCCAGCAATTGCTTGGCCTCCCAAGCCACACATGCTGGTTGCTGTGAGCCTTTGGGGCCACATGGCAGTGCGCTGGGAATGGAAGCACTTCTCTGGGGAAGCTGGCAACATTGCTCCCTCTGGCAGCTTTCCAAGTCTCCCTGTGCCTTCTCTAGGTGCCCGCCATGGTGAGGTTCATCCACCAGAGGATCATGGCCAATGATTGTGATGAGCACAGGCTGGAAAAGGCCCTGCTGGACCTCACTGAAGCACAGCCAAATGACGCAGTCATCACGCTCCTGCGTGTGGCCCCGTCCTGTGACAGGTATGGGGCCCACCTGCCCATAGGGCTCAGGCCTCCCCAGCCCATCACCCTGTACAGCCTGCCCCAGGTGTCTGAGCAACAGAGACTTCCAGGGCCCTCTGGCTGCTGCCTTTCCCAGCCCTGGCACGTCAGCCCCTGAGTCTGCTGCCATGCTCCCTTGCTGCCTCTCAGGGCTCTGTCCCCAAAGGGCTGGGCTGCCTGGCTGCTGCTGGCCATGGCCAGTGGGCAGAGGCAGAAATGGCAGCCAGCTCAGCTCCCCTCGTTGCTGTGTCTGAGACCCCCCTGAGACATTGCTCTGACCCCACTGAGCTGCCATGGCCATGTGGAAGACCATCATGGGCTCAGCCAGGACTGCAGAGCTGGCACAGCTGATACTCCTGGATGTGCTGGAGAGCTGGCCAGAGCACAGCACGTGCACCTCCGATGGGGACAAAACGGCTGTCTTTGCCCTGGCTGTGAGTTTCTGACACTGGCCTTTGCTGGCCCCAAGGCCGCCTCTCCAGCAGCTCTCCATTCTCCTTCCCCCACTGCATCTCCCTGCCTCAGGCGCTGGCCTGAAACCTTGCCCAGTGGCAGCTTCAGGCCCACCAGGCCCTGTGCTCCCCCTGCCTCTCTCCGGGCCTCTCCCTGCCACGCTCGGGCCCTGCCACACGGACACCTCGGCACTGAGCGCTGTCTTGGGGGCTTTGCCCTTTTCAGGCAACCGTGGTGATGTGGAAGATCCTCCAGGAGTCCCATGTTCCATGTATACTGAAAGTGTATTTCCCCCGCCTGTTTGTGCATCTGCTCTTCCAAGCGTTTCTCAGCACAGAAGAGATGCCAGAGGAGGTCGATACATTCTTGAAAGGATGCCAGGAAGAGCACGGCCTTGCCACCAGCCCCAACAGGTGCTCCATGCCACTCCTCCTGTCTCTGCCACATGGCCTGGGAAGGAGCCAGTGCTGCCAGTGTGACCCGGGCTTTGCTGTGTGTTATGGTTTGGGCAGGTTTGGGCTGTGTGTTATGGTTTGGGCACACAGGTTTGCAGTGCAGACCCTGAAGTCCCTGCTTTGCCGAAAGCAGTACAATGTTGTGGTGGTGGCAATGGAACGCAGGTGTGGCTGGGACAGACTGCTCTCTGTTGACACCCGCCACTATGCTGTGGGTCTGCTGGCCAGGTGAGACCCCTTTCTCCCCACTGCCTCTGACAATTGTGCCCTGTGCCCAGAGTGACCCACACAGTCCCCGTGGTCATGGGCCAGAGGGCCTTGTCACTGAGGGACGGCCAAACAAACTGGAAAGGCTGGGGGAGGAAGGTGGCCAAAAGAGCAGCCTCTGAAGTAGCCCAAGGGCGCTTGCAGGCTGTTGGAGAAAAACCTGACCTGTGCGAGTCACTCCTGTGAGAGGTTTTATTCTCCTGGCTTACAGTCTTGCTGACTTTTTCTCCTGCCAGGGAGATGTCCTGCGTCTCCATACCCTCCTGTTCCCGGATCCTTCACTACCTGCTCCGGTTGCTCAGAACACGGGAGCCACGCTGGGATCTGCCCGCCCTGGCGTCCCTTGTGGAGGTGAGCCTCAAGGCCAGCGCTGCCTGGCTGAGCTGCCTCCCAGCTCTCTGCCCTCTCACAGCCACAGCTGCCAGGACAGTGCCCATGCCCTGTGCTGCTGCCTGGGCCCAGCCCTGTGCGGCTCCAGGCTCCTGCTGGCCGGCTCCCTGTCACTGCCCTGTGCCTTTCAGGTCCTCGAGTTCCTGGACTTGAAGGAACGTGATGCTGAGAGAGTCCTGCAAATCTTCTCAAGGTACCTGCAAAGCGAGTGCAGCGAGAGGCGTCACCTGGCGTTCAAGGCCCTTCTCAAACTCACTGACGATCCCTCGATGGTGAGAAGGGGTCAGTGGCTGAAGCCGTGCAGGCAGCGGGGGGCTGGGCAACGTAGTCGCTTGGCCTTGCCTGGGCTTTGGGCGCTGGGGCAGCTGCTCCCAGCTCTCCTGCCTCCCGCTTCAGCTGCCCCAGTGCTTCGGGACAGGCCTTTGGCCTCTGGGCCCTGCAGCAGCAGGGTGATGTTTCACAAAATTGTGTTCCACACAGACCAAAAAAATGTGGAGCCTGACTAAAAGACTTGTGGGGCTCCTGCAGGATGAAGATGGAGAGATAGTTAAGATAACAGTCATGGTGCTCAGCTTTATAGTCTTGGAGAAGGACACATCAATACCCAGCCCCATCGCCCTGCAGCTGGCTGAGGGGCTCCTGCCAGTCTTTGACCATGTAAGGCTCTGTGCCCACAGCCATGGCCACTGGCTGCTGCCCTGACACTTGGTGCCCTGTGCAAATGCAGGCCTGCACCCAGGTGAGCCTCTCACAGCCCATGCTAAGATCATCTTTTCTTCTCTTCCTACAGGATAATAGCCAGGTGAAGCAGCTCTCCATATTGCTCTTTCACACATTGCTGAGTCTTCCACTGGAAAAGAAAACAAAGGACCTGAAGACACAAGTGCGCCACAGCCTGCTCCCACTTTTCTTCTACTGCCATAATGGGAATCGGCGTGTGGCACAGGTGAGGACTTATGGGCTGCTTGTGTGCCCCTGGGAGGGGACTCAGCTGCCTCCTGCTCTGGTCACCTCCCAGGCTGCATCCTCCCCAGGCTGTGGCATTGGGACATGGGTCCTGCACCCTGGGCTTTGTGGCCATATCTGGGACTCTGCTGCTCTCCAGGTTTCTCAGGAAACACTACATCGTGTGGTCAAATTCCTGAAGAGGAAAGATCTAGAAAAACTGGCGAGGAAGGAGAAACTCTGGATTTTCGCCAATTGCCTAGTAAGGACAGCCTGTAAGCCCCAGCCTCAGCCTGGAGAAGGCCCCTGAGGGCGCTGCTCAGTGTGCGGGCTGGGCAGCTGTGCCCCTGCCCACTGCTGCGGCCAGAGGCCACGCGGGCTCTTCTCCAGGCTCCCGTGGGCCCGAGCCGGGTGCCCATGGAGCCCTGGCCCGGCGGGGCTGCGGAGCGGCACCGCGGCTCCCCGGGCAGCAGCCGGCCCTCTGCCCCCTGCCCTCAGGAGCCCTTGGCCAGTGGCTGCTGGCCGCGCCTCAGGGCTGTGCAGGTAGGGGAGGCCGGCGCTGGGCGCAGGCAGCGCCCGGCCCGGGGGCTGAGCCCGCGCCAACCCTTCCCTCCTGCCGCTCTCTGCAGCTGGCAGACGACAAGCGCCGAGCGGCCGAGTACCTGCACCAGGCCCTGCGCTACCTACAGAGCCCACAGGAGCCCCTGCGAGAGGCGGCTGTCAGATTCATGGGTGAGCCACCAGCCCGGGCTCCCTCCCCGCCCTGGCCTGCCACAGCTTGGCCCCAGCCCCGCCGGCTGCCTCGGCAGCGCCAGCGGGGCCCGGCGCCGTGGAGCCCCGCCTGGCCTGGGCATTGCTGCTGCCGCCCTCTGGCAGCCGTGCCCTGGGGCGGCAGCGTGCGGCAAGGGCTGGGCTGAGCCCTGCCGGGCCAGCAGCCCGTGTGGCCACAGCGCCGGCAGCACCGCTGGCAGGGAGCCGTGCCACTGGGGCCATGACAGGCTCTGTGTTCACAGGCATGGCTGGGCGGCGCCTGAGGGGGCAGCAGCAAGAGCTGCAGCTGATCTGCACTGCTGAGTGAGGGCAGCGGGCTGCCAGCGTGGGCTGCCGGGGGAGCTGCAAGCCTTGCCCTGGCTGCTCACACACAGAGAGATTTCAGGGCCACGTGGGGGATTCGTGGCTGCTCTTCGGGCTGATCCCCTTGCTCCCTGCTCCCTCCTGGCCATGGCAAGAGCCGGCTGTTATGGCCCTGGCAGGGGGCTCTCCTCAGCTCCCCACAGATCCAGGATCTGATCTTGGCTCTGTTCCTCTGTCTTGCAGTCCTGGAAGACATGGCAAATGACATCAGCCTCTCTGTGAGAAGCCTGACAATTCAAACTTTGCATATTCTCAGGGCACTACACAGAACTCAATATTTCACTTTTACAAATTTGCCCGACCTACTTTGCAGGGTGTGGAAGACAGGGCCACAACTGCTGGGGCTCAGCTGGCTGTGCTGCTGGAGCTCTGCAGAGAGATGATCCCTGCTGGTGCCACCAGAGCCAGCATGGATTTTTTCAGTTTGTTCAAGACTGTTCTTTTCTTCTTTTTTTTTTCTTTTGTATGTAAATATAGAATGTATTATTATAGAGAGAATCCCAGGATCTTTATTTTGCTGCCCAGGGTCCATAGGGCATAGAAGAAGAAGGGAAAAGGTGCTTGTGCTCAGCCAGCTGCCCAGGCGTGCAGTGTTGCAGGGAAAATAGCCAGAAGCCCCTTGGCCTTTGGTGGTTCTGCTGAGTTCTTTGTGCTGCCCACAGAGCAGCTGGGCAAGGGCCAGAGCTGTGGGAATCCCTGCCAGAGCCGTGTCTGGAGATGGCCACAAGCCCAGGGCCAGGCAGGAAACGCCATCCGTGTCCTTCTGCCCGGGTGCTGCTGGCTGCCTTGCTGAGGGCTCCCAGGTGCCTCTGGATGGGGCTGCTCTGGAGCTACTGTGGGACTGCGGTGCTGCTGCCGGGCAACTTGGCCGGGCTGGGGCAGCCCCTGAGGGGCTGGGGCGCTGGCAAGCCCTGAGCAATGGGCTGTCAGAGGCCACAAGCAGCCCCCTGGCAGCTGCCTTGATCCTGACAGCTGCCTGCTCTGGCGCTTCCTCAGTGGGCGGTTGGAGGGACCCCCTGGAATCAGGCATGGAACCCTGGTCCTGGCCTTTCAGGGCTGTGAGGCCAGGAGTTGTGGGACTGGGCGTGTGCCCTCCCTGTGCTCCAGACTGGAGCCCCTTGCCCCTCAGCCTTAGGCATTGAGCACCACTGCCTGCCTGCCGAGTCTTGTTCCTGTTGCCGTGAGGGAGGCCAAGCTTTGTGGTTTTAGGCCCCATTGAGCCAGAAGAGCAGCAGCTTTGAGCTCAGAGGGGCCACAGAAAGGCCCTCTGCACGAAGGGCATTCCTGGCTTTCCCAGGGCAGGGACACATGAGATTGTGGCAGGTACCTTCAGGGTGCCACGCTTCCTTTTGCACTGGGCCACCTCCCTGTGTGCAGGGCTGGCTCTTTGCTTTGCTGTCCTCGGCCTGTTGCCGTCATGCTCCTTTGGCTGCCTGCAGAGAGGGGCAGCCCTATAAGGAGGGTGAAAGCCCTGTCTCCAACATCTCAAGGGGGAAATGGAGCTCTCCCGGTCCTCAGCCCATGCTGTAAGCAGAGCAGAGCCTTTTCCCCAGCTCTCATGGATTTCTGCCTGCTGCTGGCCCCTGGCCCCCATGACCCACTGCACTCGCTCTGAGTCACCTACAGGATGGCTGGTGCCTCTTCATTTGCTGATGGGATGTGAGGGGCACTGAGAGAAAGGTGGCTGTCCCAATGCTGAGGGCACACTGAGCAGACTTGAGGCTTCCCCAGCAGGTTGCAGGTGCCTTCTGTGTCACTGAAGGGAGAGCAGAAGCCCTGCATGCCACTGAGGCCAGCGAGAGTCCCTGAGGGGAGGCGGGTGTCTGTCGTGTCCCTCAGGGTACGGCGGTTTCACTGAGGGAACGGGAGCGTCACTTGAGGGGGACACGGGCACGCTGCGTGTGGCTGAGCGCACATGCCGCTGGCTGAAGGGACGCCACGGCCGCTGAGGGGCCGTGGGCTCGCCCTGAGGGACACGGCAGGGCCGGGCCGGTCCCCGCTGCGCCGCCGCCCGCTCCCCTCAGCCGCAGGGAGCGTTTCCCGCCCAGGCGCGGGCGGCCCCGCCCCGCCGCTCCCCTCAGCCGCGGGCGGCAACTCGAACCCGCTGGGGCTGCCCCGTGGGGCCGGGCGCCGGGCGGCCTTCCAGAAGCCCTGGGAGAGCTGCCCCGGGAATGCCCTGCACTCAGACACACCGAGGAGCATGGGGCAGCCTTGGCTCAGCGCCAGGGAGTGTTTCACTTTGCCAGGGGTGAAGCTGCAGTAGCTTAGAGGGACAGAACTTCCTAGCACAGGGCTGCTGGAATTTCCTGGTGTCACCTGTAGGGCACAGAATGAACGTTTGGGCTTTCAAGTTGAGGTAATCACTGGACCGTGAGAATAATGAAATCGGAGGTGATATGTCGAGTACATGTAGTGGATGTTTGAGCAGGAAGATCTGAGGTGATCTCCAGGGGAATAAATTTCTTTTCAGGCAAAGTCTGAGTAATTTCTAGAGGGCACATATAGATCATTTTGTGACAAAACCTGAGGTAAAAGTTACGGCAAAGCCAGAACATTTGGGGATAAAATCTCAGGTTCTCTGCCTTCCCACTCCCTCATGCCATGCCCCACCAGGGCAACTTTGCCCTCCCTGTGCCCAGCCAGCCCAGCCTGGGCACCTCAGGGGTGCCCCCACCCTCCTGCTGAGGCCCGGCCTCGAGGGCTTCTGCCGCAGGCCTGGGAGACGCTCTGGGCAAGCGCCAGAGCAGCCGGGTGCCAGGGACAAGGCAGCTGCCTGGGGGCTGCTTGTGCCCTCTGACACCCAATTCCTCAGGGCTTCCCAGCACCCCAGCTCCTCAGGGGCTTCCTGGTGTTCTGCCAATTGACTGAGGTGATAAAAAGGACACATCACTGGAAATAATGTTCTTCTTTTACTGTGAATATGAAGGAACCACAATGTAAGATGATACATTCAATAAAAAATATGCTTTTGGTTTAAGTGACAAGCAATAACAAGCAAGGTAATGCACCTAATACAGTAGTATAAGAGAGAAATGAGAGCGATTCAGAAAGATGCATCACCAGTTGCCTAAATTGTTTATCATCTTGCAGATCTGCACTTGCTGGTGAGTCCCATTTTACACCAAGGACCTGGGGAACCATTCCCCGTAATTGGGAAAATCCTAGGTCATCTGTTCACACAGAGATGAGATCTCCAAATTTGCCCCCAAAAGTGGGTCCAGCTTTTATAGACCAAAGAGAGCAAGTCAACATGACTTAATTATATTTTTAGCCCAGAAACACCTGCAGGTGATGGCACACTTCACAATCAGCAGGACACACAGCCAGGCCAAAGCCCAGACCTCTGCTGGGAGGGTTTCCCCTCAAATACCCTTCAAACGAACCTCTCTTCAAGTCAGTTGGGAATGTTTCTTCAAATGATCTATTTCTGGCACCTAGCCCCACACTGTTATGTGAAAGTTTCTAAAGCAGCTGCTTTAGAGTCCAAGAGCCACCATTAAGAGTCCTTGTCATCTATTCCCGGCTAAATCACACTTAGGAGCATTTGAAGGGTTTGGACCGAGTGAGAAACCAGACCTCTGAGCTTTTTAGATGATGCCATTTCTTTTTCTTATCTTCTACATTGATAGGAAGGATGAGTTTGGCTCACATCTCCACTACAAGGCTCAGAAGGTCACAAGACTTCTAGTTCAAAGGCCTTTTAAGGATTTATTGGCCAATAAAACATTGCCAACAAGGATATGTATGTTTCTGACCCAATCCGTCAATATTTCATTCTACGGACTCATGCTCCAGCGTAAGCTTTCTTAGGAAATCATGTTCTGACACACAAACCTACAGCACTGCAGTCTAAACTTCGTGTTTACTGATTCAACTACTTTTATTTTCTCTACATCTTAAACTCTAAAATGCTAAACTTTCCTTCACTTAGCTTAAGGTTTCTGTGCCTTATACTAGAAATCTACATTCTCGCTTCTAGCACCTGAATTTGGAAGCCCTTTGCAAGGCCTCAGCTCAAATCCTGTGTTTAACTGTAGGCCTTGGCTAACAGGCCCAAAGATCTGAGAACTCCCTGCATTTCTGTTTCCAACAACACTGATGCTGTCAGTTCCAGAGTGCCCAGGAACC